ATGATATCAAATTGATTTTTTTAGCATTAGAAAGAGGATTAAATAAGGTTTTGAAAATATAAAAAGTTTAAATGAAAATTGTTTATAAAAGATGTTTTTTGAGCTTTAAAACAAAAAAAAATTTTTTGAAATGTTCTTGTTGAAAATTGTAATTTTTAGCATTTTCCTTGCATTTTCTTTCAGTTTTCTCAATTTTGAAACATTACTTAGACCTTTACAAACATTTTAACACTAAATTTAGTCAAATCCGTCCAGCCGTTTTCGAGTTATCATCAAAAAACAATTAAAAATTCACTTTTTTGACATCATTTTTGGTTAGATAATAAACTGTTTTAAAATAGCGTGTAATTAGTTTTTTAAAACAGTTATTCACTAACTTTATTAACAAATAGATACAAAATTTAATTCTAAATCAACATATGCAAAAATAAATAAATGATATCAATTAATTTCTGATTAATTAATAAAAATCCAAACATTTTCATTTCTCCAAATTTTTCTTTTTCTAATAAAAATAAAAACCTAAAAATTAATTTTTCTCCGAACGAAAACTAAATGAAATATTTTTTCTACATGTTTTCTTTAGAATTGTAATTAATTCCACGTTTGTGGTTCCCACGACCGCACAATTTTCACATTGTACACCGCAAACGAAAATTAAATCCGTACTTATTCCGAGCACTAAGGAACAAACACAACAAGCGCAAACACGAAAACGAAAACGGCAGCCCAAAACGCAGCCAAGTAAACTCGCGCAAACTATACAACAACAAAAGGAAATGTAATGCTATGCTATGCTATGTTACGCTCTATGTAGTATATACTACATATTATATACAACATCAAGTCGAGTTACCTAGCATGCGCTTGCATGTCGTGCGATATATTTTTTCCGGTTTGCGCGACACAATGTTTCAAAATTATTCACGTCAAACTGTGAATATTATCAACATACAGTGTGTTTACCCAAGAATTAATCACGATATTAATATGGTAAATAATATAATATAAATTAATTACAGAACAAAATAAGAATAAAATGTGTGTTTTTAAATGAATTTAGTAGAATAAATGTAAAAGTGTGGTTTTTTGGATTGAATTATGGAAATATTTTTATTCGTCGGTTCTGGGTAGTTTAAGCACGTTGTTGGTCGCATTGGAGGTCGCATGTCGTGACAAAATGTCATTTCTTGGTCGATGTAGGTGCTGGCGGATGAAAAGGGGTCGCTAAGCCGGTCACATTATTTTTACACGCTTTCATATTTAATGTGCAATGCGATTTTTAATACAAAATGAGTTTTTTGTGGTTTAAACTATGATTTTGTATGTTTGTGACGTTTTCACGCCAAAACCACTGAAGCAATTTTGATAAATTTTTGTATGGAAATAGATTTGTTGTTGGAAAAGGAAATAAGCGGCTTTCTGGGCGTAAAAAATAATTTTTAGGGTGCGAAATAAGGGATGAAAGTTGGAAATAGAATTTATATATAGTTATAGTTGTATAATTGGACTCTGGATGGCGTTAAAGAACATTATTGGCATTTATCTTTTCTTTAAATCAAAATTTCTGTTGAAATTGACCCGGAAATTGTTTTAAAACCCGGAAAAACATAAATTTTTGATTTTAATTTAATTTTTTAACATTTTAAAATGTTTTACATTCAAAATTTAATAAATAAACATAATTCCCAATTCAAATATTGAATTATTATCCTTTTTTCTTGTTTTACGCAAAACTAAACCTTTTATTCAATAATTTTCCATGTACATTACATAAACATGTTGCAATAAATATTGAATCATATATTAAATAACCAAAAAGCAGTTATTTTGTGTGTGCTGAGCACGAAACCTCCGCATTGGGAATTATCGATGACATTGGTTTTGGTTGGCGCGGCGTGCCCGGCGCCTCCACTGGGACATTTTGGGGTTTTCGGTGCGCCACACACAACCGCAGCCCCACAGCCCCGCGCCTCCACCAAACAGATGTTGTAAGGGCGCAATGCGAACGTCTGGGGAAAAATCCGCGTCGCTATCGGTATTCGTAGATGTAAATATTGAAGAGTATGCGCCATCGGTGACATATTAACTAATGTCATGTCGATGGGCTCGTGTTCGTGGCGCGCAGCTGACAGTTACACATCAATTCATCGGGGACGGGTTTCCATTTCCATGTATTTCATGTGGAAAATGTGGAAATGGATGGATGACGCAAATAAATTGACAACCCGAGGGATGTTTTGATTCCGATGGATTTAATGCAATTAGGGGCGATTTAAACGTGTTTGAAATGTCAAGGGATGATAGTTATTTAATTTACTTGATAAAACATTTAATCATTGACTGATATTTAATTAATTTAATATTTTTTTGAGGTTAAATAAAGTAAAAAACATTTTTTGTAAAAATTTTTTTGAAAATTTTAATAAATCGTTAAATATTACCGCAACACCCTGTATAAAATAAAAATTTAATTTATTTATGCAAAGATAAGTTATTCAGTTATTAAATTGCATTTGAAACACAATTTTATCTTTACGCGTTTGGACGTAATTGAGTTTTGAATTTTTGAAAGAAAATTATTACTAATTTAAGGTTTACGCCTCAAAAGATCAACTTTGTGTAACCTCCGGAAAGTTTTGCCTTACATCACCTTAAAGACAATCTAACTGCCTACAATATGTCGTTGGATTGAACTTTGTGCCCCCAAAGAGTCGGGAGTTACAAGAGTTTGAAAAGTTATAAGCAATCTATTACAAAAAGTTTGTCGCTGCGACTCTTGAAACTTTCCCCTGCGTAGATGAAATTACTTTATCATTTTGTATATTTTTTCGGGTTAATATTAAGGGTTGAAACAAATCGGACACACCGAAAAAATTTAATGTAGCGAGTCACCTATGTGTGGGTAGCGTAACGCTCGCATTTCCCTTTGGAGTTTCCTGCGCGCGATTGTTAACTAGATTCGTGCGCGTTCCGTGAATGCATTCCAATGGGGGCGGCTTAATTGCCGCCTCCCCAAAAAGCGGACGTGAAACAAAACGCCGGCGCGCCGAGGGGTGCTTCATTACATCAGCGCGTAATTTCATTATTCCGTGAAGCGGGCAGTGCAATAATAACAACGATCGCCATACTACCACGCCACCCCCACGCCACCCCCAAACACCCCACATGCACACATTTACCTACTCGGGTGTACATGCACACTACTGCTTCCAAAAATATATAGAAAAGCTTGTTGTTAATGAAAATTAATGACCGGATCATTAAAGTGCGCCCGCAGATGGAATAATTGCGGTTTTCCGCCGGCAGGAGGCGCTGTAAACATGTTTTTCATTGACGTGCGAATTTAGCATATTTCAGCGAGATAATTACGGTTTTTAGTGAAAGGAAATAATTTTAGTTTATTATTTAAGGAAATCGCTCGTAAACTTGTGGAAATTGTTTAACATTAAATTTATAGTAAATGACTTCCGGTTTGGAGGAAAAATTGTTTAGTTTTGGGTAAGATTACTTAATATCTATGAAAATATTAGGAATTTTTGTGTAAAGGGTCTGGAAAAAGATAATTTATTGGATATTTACATTAAATTTGCAATAAATTAATTAATAATATTATTATTGAGCAATTAAACCGGAAATGGGCAAAATTTTAAAGTGCATTTGATGATTGTTGAGTTAAACTAATATTTCTTAAATTTTTTTATAATTTTGACTAATATTTTGATGTGTAGAAACAGATGCAGGCAAAATATGAGTGTTTTTGTATGTTTGTGACACTTTGCGGTAAAAACTATTGAATCAAATTTGATAAATTTTGGTAAATAAATAGTTTAGACTATGGAAAAGTAAATAAGCTGCTTTTTGTTGCAATAATATAACTTTAAGGGTGTAAAATAAGGGATGAAAGTAAATATTTGATTTTGAGAGTAATAATAGTTATGTAACTCCAACCTAGATGGCGTACTATGACCAATTTTTATATCTTTAACTAAAAATTAAAAATTTTACATCAATAAACAATTTTTTCTTATTTTTATTTAAAAAGAACAACAAAATAATTTTTAAATTTTTTTTGTTTATTCACAACCCAATCAATAATTACACCCGTTTTCCCACTCGTGACAAATGTAAAAATCGTGACACGTTGAAAACAAGAAAATTTTCAGCTTGTTTATCGATTTGTTTGTTCGTTGGTACATTTTCCGCGTGCCTGTATTTAACATTGAATGCTCAATTGAATCGCATATTGACTCGTTCGTACTTGTAAACTAGTTGTTGTTGGATAGTAGGTACGTCGAGCGAATTGCGTTCCGCTTCAGTGGCCATTCATTTCGTATTAATGCGCCGCGTAATTTATTTATTGATTTTATTGATATTCGTCGACATTCCCAGACAGCTTCGACACGCATCGGCCATCCACCAATTTATCGGCTGGCGAATGTATTATTAAGCGGCGTATGCGAACATGGCGTGATTATTTTTTAAATATTTTAGTCAAAACATTGGAAATGGTGTATTTCTTTGTTTTAGGTTTTTATTGTGTTTGAGGGAAAATATATATTATGTTGTTAGGGGAAAATTAGTTTGTGATTAAGTTTTAAAGAAAAAAATGTTTTTTGTAATTTTTATTGTAAAATTTTGATTTTTGGGAAACACCCTGTATATTTTGATATTTTGGAAGTAATTTAGTTAACTAAACATATAATTTGTTGTTTTTCAATGTTAAAATGTCAGTTTTACAAAAAAAAACTTTAAATTTTTAGAAATTTTGGAAAATTTTGGAAAAATTTCAAAAATTTTCAAAAATTTGCTAACTTTTACTCCTACAGCTTTTAGTTTTTGCTATATTCATATCTTTTTTTCCTTTACACTTTTTAAAAGTGCGATTAAAAGTTGTTATTTATTAATTTTAATTTTTTGTTAAAAAAATTTTTTAAAAAATTCAAAAATCAAGTTTTTTGCAAAAAAATAATTTTTAATATTTTTTTCTTATATTTTAGGTTCCAAGTTCCTATGTTCTGAAGTGATAGCACCTATCAGAAGCGAAGTTGACGACATCAGTTTAATCATCATCAATTTTGAAGACCTTACCGCTCAACCAGCGCCATCTCTGGAGAGTAGTCCTGTTGGGAAGACACGGTTGAGTAAATGTAAGTTTTTTTCTTTTTTTTAATTTCTAAAATATTTATATTATGATGATTATTAATTATAATATATTTGTAGTTGATCGAGCGAGAGCCTCATTCCGACAAAGTCTCCGCCTCGGTTCAAACCTGCGTGGGCGGGGCTTACGCCTCGCCGGATACCTAACGCCACCTAGCGATGTCACCGCCGCTGAAGAAGAAGCTGACACTTTGGAACAATGGTAACTGCTTAATTTACTATATATATTTTTATGAAATGATTTGTAATTTTGTTAATTTTTAGTCCGTTAACATCGAATTCACCAACGCCGATCTTGGAGCAAACGTGGGTGTCCAAATCGGACGCGCCCACAACAACGCAAGCGACGCACACGATGGCGCTGCCGTCGGGGGCGTGCGGTGGGCGCGACTACAACGCCCTCACCATCTCGCACAGTGCGCCCGCCAGCCACCAGGCGTCGTTCGAACGCGGTGAGAGCGTGGAGCGTGCGCGCGGCTCGCAGCATCCGCATCAGCAGCCCATGGGCACGCCTTCGGCGCAAAGACACGCCGCCCCCGTTACGCCCAGTCGGGTGGCGCATGCCACCAGTCTGGATGCTATCGCGCGCAGGCAATGCTTCAAAACGGGCGGGTATCCTACTATTGCCGTTCGTATGTACCTTCAATTAATATTAAATTCCTTAAAATTGATTTATTTGCAAAATAAAAGCAAATAAATGCATTATTATGTTAAAATTAATTAAATAATGAATTAATTGAGCCATTTTTCAAAAACTCTAAAAGTTATCAATTAAAAACGTCAAAAATTCATTTTTTACAAAAAATTTCTAAAAATTTGTTTATAACTGTTTTAATTAACTTTCCATAATTATTTCTTCAAATATTATTATCACCAATGAAAGATAATTGAATTATCTTCAATTTCCTATCAAAAAATCAAAAATATCTCCAAAAACAAAAAAGTTATAAGCAAATTTCTTAAAGATTTCCAAAATAATCCCTAAAATACGCAAAATACAATAAAACCCTATAGAAATTAATTATTCTCAGATTTTAATTAAGATTATCACGATTAGATCTTGTATAATTGACCTTGAATGCTAATGGTTTGAAATGAGTGCATATTCGCTGTCAGCAGCCTCAGAGACTCGAGATAAACTCGAAACATAGATTAATAACGCAGATCCCACTGCTTTGGCAACTTGTTGTGTGTGTGTGCTGTTGTGGTGGTGGAGATTAAGCTCGTAATGAAAACTAATGTGTCCGGTTGTGTCTGTTGCAGCGAGCAAGCCTTATCTGTCGAAGCAATTCCCGAACGTATCGTCTGAAAGTGACCTACAGAGATACAAGACTGCCTTCACGTCCTACGACAGGAAGAGTCCGAGCCTCAGCAATCCGACCACGGACTCACTCAAACAGAAGGTAAACTAAAAATTTATTTTCCTGAAAAAAATTAAAACAAAAAAATTAATATTTGAAAGTGTTTTTAGACTTTTGAAGCTTTTGGATGCTAAAGATTATTTAGATTACACCTGCTTGGAAAGCTCACTGATGATTTTGAGCTTTTTGAGCTTTTTGATAATTTTCATTGAATTTTCAGCCATTTTAGTAGTGTATATATGAAAACATACTTTTTGAGCTTAAAAGCTCATCTTTCACAAGCTTTTAATCACAATAAGCTTGTTTTATCATGGCATATGTGCTATGCCAAAAAGCTCATAAACTTTTCGTCCTGAAAATCCAATTATCCTTCGAATCGAGACGCGTTCAGCCTAAACTATAAAAAACACAATTGAGCTTTCGGCGACAAGTCCCCAAATGTTCATCAAGCGTAATAGAATTTACTAGTTCGTCCGGACGAGCTTTGACGAAGGTCGTTAAAGCTCATGCTTACGCATTATCGCCCTAGTTTACTCAGACACACTAACACCCACGCATACACAATGACAGAGGAAGGACTCAGGTATTAATTGCGTCTTTATTTATTTAAATGAGGTAACGTTGTAGGCGAGTGGAGATATTCTGAGATTTGAGTTTTGGTGTATACTTGGTTGCCTACATTAAAGTAGATATACAGAAAAATCAGATAAAGTGAAGTACATAATTTAAAGATGAATATTTTTATGTTAATGAAAGTTTTTTGGGGTGATATTATAGTCAATTGAAAGATAATTTAAATATCTATTAGCTATTGAAAAGATTTTGTTGATTTCTTTGATAGGAAAAAAGTTATTAGTAAATTTATAGTCAAGAACATAGAAAAATTGTTGAGCAAAAAATTAAATTTTACATTTTATTGACAAATATATCTATGATAAACAAAATTTCAAGGGACCATATTACTATCAATTAAAAGGCAATTTAAATACCTATCCGATTTTAAAATGATTGTAAAGATTCTTTAATTGCAACAAAAGTTATCATAAAATTTATAGTAAAAAACATAATCAAGAAATTAAATTAAATTTTTATATTCCAAAAAAATAATATAACAAATATATTTTCTATATAAATTATACCATTTCCTGAAAGATAATTTAATTGGCTATCAGTTGATCTAAAAATAATTAAATTAACTTTATTAGTGTATGAATTACACCCAATTTTCTATTGAAAAGCCTACGCTGCCCACAACCTAAAATTAGAAATGAGTTCTTGAGTTCGAAATTAGAAGCAAACTAGAAAACTTCGAAAGTCGGCAACATCTAATAGCATTAGTTTAACTGTTGAAAAGTCGGAAAATCATGCTCACCCCATTCAGGCGCAATCGATTTCCCATCAAATATGCATTAATAACGTGTCTTGCTGCTTCGCTTCAATCGAAAACGCTCTAATTTTTGTTTTTCTATTTCATTTTCAAACTGAAACTATTTTCGTTTGCCTTTGTGACTACGGGTCAATATTAAACTACAAACATATTACCTTCACAGCACAGACACACAGCTATACACATGCACGTTTAAGGGATGCATTCGTGCATCGTGCATTATTCAACGCAATTCGATTTGAATATTTATTTACTATTGTTTACTGATGGTCGGCCTTCTAGCGAGTAATATTTCTTGCGTGATACTATAGGGACTCCTTTGTTTTTGATATTACTATAAAATCAGTTTTAGTAAAACTAGCGGAATATAAGGATAAATTGTGAATTTAAAGTTGTGGTGGAAATAATAGTTGCATAATTTTGGTTTTTATTTAATTACTCAAAAAATAATAGGTTAAAGTGAATATTTTTTTCAAAAAACCAAATTACGATTTAATTTTACACAAAATTTGATGTAAATATTGTAGATTGCAGTGTTTTACATAAAAATACGAACATTTTAAAGTTAAAATCGAGTTTTTTTGAAATGTTGATTTTAATTGTTAATAACTTTTTAGTTAATACGTTTATACACACTGTGAATACATATTCATACGTAGAATTTTATTGAGAATTAGGTTTTAAAAAGAAATTTATCCTAACTTAACCCAATTTAAAGTTATTCAATAATTACTAAAACTATGCAACCAACATTACACCTTTAACTTAAAATTTCACAATATTTAACTAATTACTTGAAAACAACTCAAAAAACATTAAATCATAAACCATTCACACCTAATTATTATTATAAACAATTTTATATGAACACTTAACAAACAATATTCTCTAAATTTTAGGTTATGTTACAAAAATTTGCTTTTTTCGAGTAAATTAGTTCATATCTTTGAATAGTCGCGATTTCTTCTTTTAGATTAGTAGATTTTTATAAATTTAGTCTTCATTTATATAAAGTACGAGTTGTTTAAAGATAATGTTTGAAGAATATTTACCGCTTGTTGCTTCGTCCTGGAGAAAGGACGCAGGACGACGCACGCCTCCACACACGCTTGTAGTGCCTTGTTGATGCCAAAAGGGCTATCAATTGATTTGCAGTTCTCGGTGCAGGATAATGGGTCGGCAAAGTATTTCCAGAGTGGGTTACACACCCCCAAGATGGGCGAAAAAGTAGCGCAGGTGAGTTTTTACACATTTTTTTCAATTCTTAATAAAAAACTTGAAATTGTAAAGAAGTTCTTTAAATAATTGTATGGTCTATGATATTTTATGTTTTGTTTAAATTATAAACAAATTGCTTTGTTTAGTGCATATTAAATTGGTAAATTATGTAGTTTTTGATAAGATTTAGAAGTAGAAAGAAAAATAGTTTGAAAAAACTCAAACATTTTATGAAAAACAACAAAAAACAAAGACTTTTACTCAATTCAAACAAAAAAGACTAATTATACAATTAATAGTCTTTCATCTGACATGTTAATTTTAGATGTGAAAAGTAAATTTCATTTGTTATCACACAATTAAAACGATTTAAACAAATTTTAAGTTTTTGATGAAATTTTGATTTCGTTGGTATTTTTATCAATTACGTCAAAAGTATAACATTTACTAAACTTTTCTTTATTGCATATTAAAGTGGACATTCATATCTATCAACTAAAACAAAGATGGGGTTTCTATCACTATTAGTTTAAAAGTTATTATTAACTAAATTTTATTTTGTTAAAAAAAACTTGAAATTTTTCTTCAATTGGTTATAAAAGTGATACCACCCAACTTTTTATAATAAATCTAGTTTAAACTCTAATCTAGATTAAATTTCCTTTCTGATAATAGTTTAATCAATACCCTACGTTTTAAACTCTCCGACTTACACCACTTTGAAATCGACCAACTTTAAAAACACTCACAAACAAAAAATAAAATCTAAAATTCAAATTTTTAATAAGTCGCAACGCCATGAATATTAAGTTTGAAAATCCAGCAACCTTGTAAAAGTTGAGGTAGTTGTTAAACTTATCGGCGGATCAAACGCGCATTTTCCGGTCGACACGCCACGCACTTTTCCACCCCAGTTTTCTATTCTACCACGCGTGGATTTTCATTTTTTCATTACGAAAGTTTGTCATAAACACTCTCATGTTTTATTTTGTGTGTATTATAATTTTTTTCTATTTTCGTGTTTGTGTGAATGTGTGAGTCGGTGTGAAGCCCCCAATTTTTTTCCGTACCCTTGATGGTGGTTGTCAATGACAACGACGGCGACGACGGTGTCGATTCGGTTCGTTCTGAGGTTTCGTCCTGTTATAATATTCATGGAAATGTGGAAATTGACGACAGGACGAGACGAAAATAGCCGACGGTGTTACACTCACACATATCATGTTATATAAGCCAATAAAAACTAGTAAATAATAGAAAAAACAACAAAAACATGATAAGGAGAAAGGTTTTTGGAAAGTGTTACGGTTAATTTTCATTTAGAGCTTGAATTTTTGTATTGGGAACAAAATTAGGACAATTGTGTCAATGATAAATAAATTTTGTATTTATTAGTAATAATTTTATGTTATATTTTTTTAACTTTCTTAATTATTTAGTAATAGCAGCGTGTGTGGTTATTTTATAACTAAACTAAGAAAGTTTTTCAATTATTGTATTTTTCTGCTATAAATATTTATACACACTTATTATACATTGCAAAACATGTTTGTTTTTTATTAAAAACTAGTGAGATATTTAATTACAAAAAACTTCTACAGCATTAACGCTATATCATACTTTTTTTCACGGTTTTGTAAAACATTAAATTGAATTTCTGATAAAATCAGGTTTTATTTTCTATTTTGTTAATACTTATTACGTTATTTATGGTGAATATTGTTTCTATCAAAGTTTATTTTTTATTTAATATGTTTATAGATTATTTTTATTATTTTGAATATTATTATAAATGCAAATATGAGATTGTTTGTTTGTGACGCTTTGCCACAAAAACCACTTAACGAATTTTGATAAATTTTGGTATGGAAATAGTTTTGGCCATGGAAAAGCGAATAGACTACCTTTTGTTGCAAAAATATAACTGAAAGGGTGTAAAATAAGGGATGAAAGTTAGTACTGTTGTTAAATCATAGTTATAGCTATATAATTGAAATCCAGATGGTGCTAAAATCCATTATTTGCATTTTTTACAACAAAATAACGAATATAGGAAAAATATTAATCAAATAACAAACCAAAGAAGCTCCTGGAAGAAAAATAAATGAAATAATCAGGTAAAATCATGTTAAGTATCAAACATGCACACCACTTATTTAGTTTCCTAATAATATTAGATACGATAAACTTTAAACAAGATTCCCTAACTTCTAAGTGTGTAAACTTGAGTAGTACTATTTACATATATTCATTTCATCTCTACAATAAGCCAAAACACTCAAAACTCAAATAATTAAAAGTTTCTCTTGAAAAACCAATTAAAAACACTCTTCTCATAGATAAAAACATACTTTGATTTGTTACCAAGCGGAAATTAAACTTTTTTCATAAAAAAACAGTAAATTTTCTCGAAAAGTGTGCAAAACTAAAACCGCAATAATTCAATTCAATTGCTCTCAATATATTTCCCCGCAGTTTCTTTTTTTTTAAGTAGGATAATAAATACGATGGTGATGATTTACCCTAGATTCACATGATACCGGTTACCGGCCAGCGGTTGAATGTATTTATTTTTATTTGTTTGTCCTTCAATTAGTAGAAAATATAAATCAATACTGGCGCAGTTCGCAGTTGACAACAGCTCGGTTGACAGCGTGACATACCTCGTTAGACAAAACAAAATACAAAGAACGAGTATGGCACGTGCACGCATAAATACCATATTTTATACATTTTATAAGCTTCCCGTCTGTGTGTATTTCGATTTGCATTTGTGTAATGAATATTATCAGGTTTGAGCTTTGGAGAGGTTTAAGTTGCAGGAGCTTTCAGTTAATTAGAAAACGTCATTAAAGGCATTTCGGATGATTTTGTAATGATTTATAAAAAGCAAAGAAAAAATTTATTTTATTATATCTTTTAGTGTTATTACATCTTTTTTAAATTTATTTAGTCCTGGATTTTCGAATGGATTCGAATGAATTCGAATTTCAATTTATTTGTTTGTTTGTGAAGCTTTCACATAAAAACCATTAATCTAATTTTGATTAATTTTGGTATGGTGATTTTTCCGAATCTGGAAAAACAGATATATTTTTGTTTGCAATAAATAGTAACCTAACTTAGTAGCATATTTAGTATCCAGTGATTAAACGACAGTTTTTGCCTTTTAGTCACGTGTTGTTTACGCTATTTTTTCCATTTCCACTGTATTTCCACGTTCCACGTTTTTGTATTTAAACTTTTGTATTTTCAATCTTTGAAATTCAACCGCACAGTTGCTGACATTTTATATGGTGTTGTGGTGCACTTAACACAGCTATGTGAGACACTTTTTGTGTCTCAAAACTATAAAAAAATCGGACATTTTGAATTTAAAAGTAGGAAAAGCGCTATGTTATTAAATTATAGTAGCAATTGTTAAATAATTTTAATCCAGATGGAATAATACAACGTTATTGACATATTTTATTTTTTAGAATAAAATTTATGAATCTTATCATTCATAATAAATCCTAGCAATAGAAAATATTTAGTTTTAATTTTTTTTAAATTAAAATCATACTTGTAGCAAATGTAATATTTAGTTGAAATTAGTTTAGCATGCTATTTTACATTAATTTTAAAATCATAAGAGGATTCCATTTGTAACACCTATGTTGGCTCGGTTTTTATATAAAAAATACAAAAACAACTATATTCAGATTATGTAAATCTGAATATAATTTATTCAAATTGTTCGGAAACTTTATGTTATTTCAGTAAAATTCTTTCATATACGAGTATATGTATAATTTAAAAAAATAAATTTAAAAAATGAAATATGTTTATTTGCATTCTCAAAATATTCGAGAAATCATTATAATTAATATCATATTAAATATTTCTTTCAAATTAAATTGTTTTCCCCTCTAGAGTTTCCAAATTTGAAATTTTTAATAAATCAATTTTAGATTTGATTGTTATGTGATACAATTAACAAACATATAAGTACAAAATAAACTAGTAATAGTAAGAAGAACACAATTCAACAACACAATTTCCAAATAAGGAAATACTGCCACATTAAGTCACAACAACAAACATTGAAGTAGTCCAAGCATGATTAATATATTTATGTCCGTATTTTGATCGTAAAATATGATGAAGTAGAAAGCAGTAAAACAGTAAATATATAACCAATAACAAGAATATTATTCCTGCTATAAAAATGTTTTTATAAATTTTGTATTTATACAGTTAAGTTATATTGCCCAAAACTGAGAAGCTATTTTTTTATAATAATGAAAACAACATTAACGACCAAAGTTTCATAATATAACAAAGTTTTAGTTACTAAAAATAAGCAAATTCTCTTTCTATCGACAGTCAATAAACCAGATATTTTAATACGTTGTATCAAGATGATGTTACAGAAAAAAATCGAATTGCTAGAAATAAACATATTTTATGCCGTTAAACGAACTATAACGCTATATCGAGGAAATTGATATGGAATTTTAAAGGTACCTCAAGTATACTATGTTTGTCATTAAATCGAGTTTTAATATAAATATAGAGAGTAAATATTGAGGACACTCTCCTATTGATCTATTTATTTATTGAAAGATATATTTACTTAATCATTCAGACTTTAATTAAAAGTCAATATTTTCTATAGGAAATATCCATTATCTCAATGATTCATTCAGTCGTAAAGTCAAAAAAATATCAAAAATATTTTTTTGCTTAAATTAATTCAATTATAATTCAGTTCAAATTATTTAAAATAGAAAAAAAAAAAGATTTTTAGAAAAAAAAAACATAAAAATTTAATTTTTTAATATTTTTTTGTTTTCCGTAAATAAAATATAATTATTTTCATTGTTCAGTTATAAAATATTCAGAAATTATTATTTTGCACAGTTTTCCAGTGAAAAACATAAAAAAACATTAAAGTAATCCGTTAACAATTAATATAAATAATTTTTCACGCTTTTCTCAAAAACTTAAAATTTCCTACAAAAAAATAATAATAT